AAAGTGTAAGTTGAAGAAGCTTCTTACATTAAGTGGGATGCTGTGTATGTAAGAGTAAGGACACCTGTGGACTAGTAAAGTCATTATGGGTTTGGGTAAATCACAAGAGTCGAAATTAAAGAAAATTTAACATTTTCATTAAAGTCTTTCCTCCCCACTTATGTACAGTATGGGAAAAAGAAAATGCATTTAAAAGAAAATACAGTAAAACTTTGGATTGCGAATAACGTGGTTTGCGAGTGTTCCGCAAGACAAGCAAACATTTCTAATACATTTTAACGTGGTAAAAAAGCGATGTCTTGCAATATGAGTAGTTTGCTTCTGGAACGAATTATGCTCACAAACCAAGGTATTACTGTACTTCCTTAGGAATGTCCATATGAATTTCATAGGAAGAATGGAGGTAAATTAACTAGCATTTCTGAAAAGTATACAAAAATTACACAGAAAAATGCCAGCCAAACTGTGGTAATAATATACCAGGAAATTTAATGAGCTAAAAAAAAAAAATTGGGCAAATTGCAAGAATGCATGACTGGCAGTTAGTTACACAAATATTGAGTTTTGCCACAATTAGATTATCATTCCTAGAAAAAGAAACATGTGGCTTCTGAACTGTATTTTTTCCTAATTTCAATAAGATTAAATTGTTTATATTTGCATTATATAAACATTACAGTTTCCAACATTTAATTTGTTTCTTCATTCCATTTTGTTTCTTCCCTCAAAAGTAATTTATTTTAAAGTGTGTGGCTAATGTAGTGCTGAGAATGAATATGAAACAATGGAGCGGTGTCTTCTGGAAAAAATATATATAGCTTTCTAATTTTCTGAGGTCAGATTTAGTTACTAGATTGTTTTTTGAAACACTAACAAAATTTAAAAACTAGCTTCTAAAAATGTCAGTAGATTATACTGAGGTTATAAGGATATAATGACTTTTCTAATTAATTAAATTAATGATTAGGTATAACACTTCATAGCAGCCTGCCCCAAGACAGGGTCATAGTATGACTGGAAATAGACACCTTACAAATTGAGTTAACAGCNAAAAAAGAAAGTCTGACATAATTCTCTGGTTTTGTTCCGTTTTGCAATTGTCTTTTCATATTGGGGAAGACTTTTCACTCAGCTGACTTCTCCTTGCTCTTGAATAGAATAGAATAGAATAGAATAGAATAGAATAGAATAGAATAGAATAGAATAGAAATCACGCTGTCTTGCTGAGATTCCTTATTTTCTCCCATTTTAATGTTTTGGATCAGAACATGCAATTAAACTTTTATCATCAGTAAAACTAGAAAGAGCTTTTCAATGTGAGAGTCACTTTCTCTATAAAGTCAAAGCAAAATCATAATTGTTTATTCTTGTTTAATATGTGCATATGATGTATAGTTCTATTTTATTAAATTTGTACCTATTTTTGAAATTACGAGCCATCTTCCCAGATGATTGACCTATGAAAAATGATTTAGATAAACCTACAGAAATTAAATCAACTAAATAGTGATGGTTGGGCTGGATTTCAGGTTACTGGTGTGGACACAGCAGTAAAACCTGTGATTGGTCTCCTAGTTTTCTTGGACAGGGGCCCAATTGTACCTTTAAATGAAGACATTACTCCTCTTTTAGACCCTTCTTGTATGCCTGTTCTGTTACTGAATTGTTCATGTGCCTTTGGGAGTCTTTAACTTCTCCAGTAATCAGGATTTCAAGAACATCCTGATAATAGTTAAATATAATATTTATATTAATAGGTTTTCCTCAAGAATTCTCTTTCACTGTTTTGGCTATTTTTCATTTAAGCAGTCACAGCATTCAAGGCTTGTATCATATAAGTATAATATGAAGAATTAAGAATTCTATGATATAGAATAGGTGAAAAAATAATTATTTTTTATTTAGAAAATATCTTAGAGAAAATCTTAGAGTGTAACCCTCTTATCTTGTATGCCCCAAAATTGAGACTAAAAGAACTAGGTGACTTGAGTTTCCCAAAAGAAAAATTATGATTTTTAAACATATAATTATAGTTTTTCAGTGAACAATTATTTTTCAACAATAATTTTGGAACTTAAAATTAATGAACATTGATTTGGTAAGCCAATTGACAAATAGTATAGGTTTCATATTTTACTTAATTGAAATTGAATAGAAGGCTACATGAGTCATGGACACATTTAAACTACTTAATATCCTGTTCCATTTAAGTAGATATGGAAAAGGTTATCTGTTTAAACTAATTATTTTGAATTCACATTCTTTAATTAAGAAAATAATGCCTGAGTTTGTTTCTTTGAGCTTTCAAAACTCTTCTTCATTTTTGTGGTGCTTCATTAGTGAGTGAAGGATCCCATAACTGAATATAATTTAATCAGCTACGTGAAAATGTAGTGATTATTCTTTGATTACGACTGAAATCTAGAATTGGAAGGAGGAGGAAAATAGTTTTTTATATGAATATATTATTTTGTGATATAGTTATTTCCACCAGGTGAAGTTTCAAAAATTAAATTGGTTAATAGACTTTTAGAACTAGGAAGTACTTTAGAATTCATCTGGTTCAGCAAGTTCACATCACAGAAAATGATACTGAGAACCAAAAGGCAGACGCATTATCCAGGGTGGTACATTTGATAAAATAAAATCCAGATCCCTCTTGTTTCTTTGTCCAGTGCATTTTATTCTTATGATGCATGCTGTTCTCTCAGAATTGATCTAGATGCTATTCAAAACAAAGGGAGGATGGGGAGAATGCGGAAGGAAAAGGATGTGAATCCCCTTTCAGTGAACCTGTTAAGTTTGGGAGTCCACCTGATGGGTCTCCAGCGTTTGTTCTTCTATGGTAGGGGTCATCATGCTAATAAAACCGATTTTTGCTTTTTAGGTGAGAGTTACGTGTGTGCGTCAAACGAACCATTTCGCAAAGTTGATTACACCAAAAACATTAATCCGAACTGGTCTGTGAACATCAAGGGTGGGACCACCCGCGCCTCGCCTGCTCCCGCCTCAGTGAAAAGCGAAGTGAAGGAGAGTAAGGATTTCATCAAGCCCAAATTAGTGACCGTGATTCGAAGTGGAGTGAAGCCTAGAAAAGCCGTGCGGATCCTTCTCAATAAGAAGACTGCTCATTCCTTTGAACAAGTCTTAACAGATATCACCGAAGCCATTAAACTAGACTCAGGAGTGGTCAAGAGGCTCTGCACACTGGACGGGAAGCAGGTAAGAGGCTGTGAGCCCCCAGCGCTCCATCTTG